GGAGAAGTGGTGCCTCGGGGCGCGCCCGGGATCCGAACCCGGGCCGCCAGCATCAGAGCGCGCGCACTTAACCGCTAAGCCACAGAGCCGGCCCAATATCTGTGGTTTATTTGCGGGAGGGTTGGGGGCCAGGTCAGTAGATGCCAAGACTTGAGGAACATCCAAGGAGAATGATTATAAAGTGAAAGTGCAGGGGAAAATGAGATGGGTTTCAAAGTAAGAAGTGATCCCAGTTGGTTTAGACTCTGCTCTGAAAAGACAAGTTCTGGACTACCATGTGAGTGACTTTTTGACAGGTTTCACCTTTCCCTGACTAAAACAGCTTTGGTCTGATCTGTCTTGGGTCAGAAGTGGAGAATGGATTCTAATGGGCCCAGAAGGCTCCAGGCCCAGCCACTGTCCTCCTATAATCAGAGCCCAGGGTCTATGGGGGCCACTGAAAAGGAAAGGGATCTGTGACTCCTGGAGCCCTGATTTGAGCAGGCCTTAGTCTGAGTGGGTAGTAGACATTGTGTTGCATTTGATCATGGCCTGGAAGGCTCTTGGGCCGTCGATTCTTATGGGCTTTTCTAGAGTCCACAGATGCAAACACACAAATTCTCCTCTTCAACACATTGTTATCAAATCACAGAGTTAAAGGTACCATAGCCAGGGCCCTGCAAAGAAAGAAAGATCAAGCAAGGCATATTAAAGCCAAATTCAGAATTTGGGGAAATTAATCATGAAAGAATATGTTTCGTTCATTTAAGAAATAAAAGTGTTCTGAAGTCATAGGGGAAGAGAGAAAAGCAAATCTTAAAAGAAAAATCGCTTAATATCAGTAGTAAGACAATTCTAGCTAGAACATAAATCTGTTAACTGCAGCCATCTGGTAGCCAAAAAGATAATAAAAAACCAGTGTTCACATCATAGGTCTGACATAAGGTGGCAAATATTTAAAATGTTATTAACCATAGCTTTTAAATGTTTGGAGAGAAAATAGCTCCTATATTATTGATCGAAGTTTGCAGTATGTCCATGTACTTAATCCCTGAAGCTACACACACAATTTGATTCTCTTACTTATAATTTTTTTCTCTATATACACTCTGCCTAGCTGTTTTCTGTCAAACTTGCCTTAAACATTAATTGACTGGAATAATTCAAATAGTGGAGGAAAATCCCAAAAGATCAATAGGAATTGCACAGAGGGTATTGTGGGACTTATTTTTCCTCCTGCAATCCCTCTTTGGAAATTTAAATGTTTCTCATCCCTTTCTGAGCAATTCTTTTAATTCCAATTTTATGTAATAGCAAAATATTTTCTAAATGCACATTTTTAAAGACCTAACAAAGAAAAGGAGAAGATAGAAAATAAATTTCCCTCTTGGTACGTCTATCACTTAGGCACATTTAAATGTTTTTCCTTTTGGCCTTTAACGGTGTCAATTAAATTGATCCACACATTACTGGGTGCTATTAAAGGACCAAGTGGGAAGTTATACTGATCTGCAAACCAGAATGAAGAAAGAGATGAACAAGTAAGTAAATTGAACCCTAAATAACCAATTCACTCCATGATGGAATAAACTGAGTTTTCTGACATGAGCCTAAATTTTGGCCTGAGAAACAGAGAAAACTTGTTGATGTCCTGGTATTGTAAGAGAAAACCTCCTTACCCTGGTATCAGCTTAGATGGTGGCTCCCACAATCTGGGTTTTAGAGTACAGTGTCTGAATTTCAGAACAGGAGGTGACCATACATGCTATTTAGTCAAACCCTGTCATTGGTAGATGAAGAGAACAGAAAGCTACGTGCGATTGACACAGTGAGACTGTGGCGGGTCTGACTGGGGGGCATCGCTGGTGGAGGCTGGTATGACGCATGCCCTTCAGAGCAGTGGGCAGGCTCTCCTCTCTCCTCCTCCGTGGTGCCTCTCTGTGCACAAGTTTGAGGGATTCATTGAGAACAACAGTAGGCAAAGTTAATTTAGGGAGTGTCCTGGCAAGAGTCAGTTAAAGAAGAGGGAATTAAAAGCATTTCAGTCCCAGGTAACATATTTATGCTGGTGATTCCCATGCAAAAGGAATAGAATGTGGTTTTATTAGAATATACTTTTTAAATGATTGGATTTGACTTATCCTCTTTGGAAACACTTTTTCTTACATTTTTGTCTTTTAGGCTCAACAACATCATCTTCCACCATCCATAATGAAGCTGAGGTTGGTGATGATGACGTTTTTACGGTAAGTTCCCTTGGTCCTCTGCTTTCCAGATCAGTTGGTGAATAAGCAGAGAGAGGTTCTGTTGAAGGGCCTGAGAGACACTGTGCAGTTTGGTGTTTGCTGTTGCTGTTGGGGTGCCATCGGGGAGATCTCTGTCTGGTCACAGTTTTTGCTGTGCTGGGTTTGGCTTTGTTGCCCATGTTGCAGTGGTGCCATCGGCCACACGGCACAACAGCGTCAGCCCTCTCCGACCTGTCCCAGGTTCCCTCAGATTTAGGGTGACCAGCTGTCTGGTTTGCCTGGAGCCATCCTAATGTTAGCACTGAAAGTCCCTAGTCCTGGAAACACCTCAATCTAGGCAAACTGGGACAAGTGGTCACCCTACTCAGTCTTCTGTTAACACAGCCCCCTCCCTGGCTTCCAGGGAAAAAGCCAGAAGTAGCCTTCATGATGAGTAGTTAAATACCTGATAAAAAAAATGGCCTGAAGGCTGAGCTGAGGTTGGGCCCAAGTGTGCTAAGGCAGGAAAGGACGTGGCTGTTTGGACTCAGCTTGAGTTAATGGGATGTAACTGGAGACAAAAAGGATTTCTCAGCTTGCTTCTTCATTTCAGTCCTGTGCTTCTGGATGTTAATTAACAAATAGTTCATTGTGCACCTGCTGTGCGCTCGGTGCAGCGAGGAGCTGTAGGGCAGCATTTTCAGACTCTTGGCCTTGACCCACAGTAAGAAGTACATTTACGTTGTAACCTAGGACACACACACGTCAACAGACACCTGAAACCAGGTCGCACTTCATGCTCTGCATTCTGATTTTTTTCTCTTCCATTTTATTTTCTTCTACTTTTTATTATGAAACTTTTCAAGCACATTATTTAAAGAATAATACAGTGAACACCTGTATACTCTACACTTGGATTCGGCAGCTGTAACATTTTGCCTCGTTTGCTTTATCTTTGCGTGTGTGTGTACTTACACACGCGCACACACACATTTTTTTTTTTTTTAATTTTTATTTATTTATTTTTCCCCCAAAGCCCCAGTAGATAGTTGTATGTCATAGCTGCACATCCTTCTAGTTGCCGTATGTGGGACGCGGCCTCAGCATGGCCGGAGAAGCGGTGCGTCGGTGCGCACCTGGGATCCAAACCCGGACCGCCGGCAGCGCAGCGTGCTCACTTAACCACTAAGCCACTGGGCCGGCCCTTGCTGATCCAGTTGAAAGTAAATCACCTCTAAATACTTCATGCATCTCCTAAAAATAAGGCATTCTGCTATACGACCATGACACCATTCCTATAGCTAAGAAAATTAATAGGAATTTCATAATATCTAATAGTTCCCCAATAGTTCCTCCATTGTCCCAAGAGTATCTTGTATGAGCTAGTTTTTATTTCGTATTTTAAAATGTTGGTTGCAACCCTTTATCCTTGTTTCCCAGTGCACTCATCAAGCAACTGGTAGTTTGGAAAACGCTACTTTGGGAATACAGAGGTGTGTAAACCACGGCTCCAGCCCTCGTGGAGATCATAGGATGGTTCAGACAGAGATGAGATTAACCCCTGAGAGGCTCAGAGAATAGCACAGACTATGTAAAGTACTCTGGTCCAGAGTTTTTCACAGGGAGGGGCGTGGGGGTCAGAGAAGACCACTAGGAGGTGAGGCTGGACTGTTCCTCGGTGGCATTTGAACATGGTTCAGGAAGGGGCTTTGAGGCTGGGAACCACAGGGGCAAAGGCGGAAGCAGGGATATGCGTGGTGAGTTGCCTAAGCATTGCAGATCCCAACCTGACGTGAACAGAACATGTGTGGGGTTTCAGGAAATGAACTCAGTTGTCCTTCCATGGAGCGGCTGGTGTGATGTGCCTCTGAACAGGCTTCCTATAGTGCTCCAAGCAGATCCTCTCAACAGTTGGCATGTTGCTTACATCTGTTCCTTTGTCACGTTTCGAGAGACAAACAACAGCAGGCGGGTTAAAAGGTGGCTTCCTGTGCTTCAGAGCAAAACTGTCATCCGCAGCTGCTTCCCAGCTACCTGCCAGAAGTGATTTATAGAATTCGGAGAGGGCAAGAGGGAAAGGGGTGATGGAAGCCAGCATCCCTCCTGGTTTTGTCCTTTAATCCACAGAGGAATCAACGTGCTGCTCTAGAAGGAAGTGTAGAAACAGCCCTGCTGCTTCCAGACGCTCAGAAACTCACTGGAGAAGGAGCTCCACTTAATTGCGTTCCGTTCCGTGTAGGCCCCGCTGTATATGATCAGTTGCCTTCACTCCATTTACAAACAAGGGCCCGTTAACAATAGTACCTCCCTCCCCCAGGACAGGCCCAGTCATTAGGCTGTCGACTATTAGGATCACATCCCATGTAAGGACGGGTGGGTCTCCAGGGGACACATTTCCCTTTTGTTCATGATCTCCCTGACATTAGACTGCCTGTCCTAAGATGGTAAATGAGATGTCTGTGAAAGCTGGAACCAAGCAAGTGAGCAGCTGCGTTAACTCCCGTATAGTCTACAGCTTCCCAAAGTTTGTTGTATTCCAGAACTTGTTTTGGTAAGACAGATGTTTAGAACTTGGAATTCATTCATTACAGAAAGAGTATAAATGGTGATAAGACCCTCATATAACTTATGATGGACCAGAATTATGAGAATTTTCTAAGAGAACAGTGTATGGGAAAACCTTTAGTGGGGTAACCCGAGGAACCAGGAGTATATCTTCTCTTTCCTACTGTTTCAGGGGATTCCTTGGGGTTAGGAGGAAAATGGGACATTGTGGACAATATACTGATGCACGTTCTACATTGAGGAATAAAGTGGAGAAAGGAGCCCCCCCACTCCCCGTGGAACGGTTGTTTGGTGTGGGTGCTCACCAAGCCTGGGCTGTCTCTGCTCACACTTTCCCACCTGTCATGGCTATCCCCAAATCAGCTTGTCCTCCTGGCTTCTCAACGATGGTAAAACCATGTTGCAATTCCTAGCATGTGCACACACAAGCACACACAAGCACACACGCCCTGCTCACCCATTGGTCGAAGGGGCCGACACCGTTGCCTCCACAGTCTTCCCAGGCCTCTCCTTCCATTTCACTGCCACCAGCCTGGTGTGTGCCCACATCTTTCCTGCCAGAGCTACCACCAGAGCATCCTGATTCACAACTCTCGTCATTTTCTGAATTTGGGCTGTTTATCCATTCATGTCGCCTAATATTTCTCCCTCGGCCGATTATGATTGTTCTCTCTCCTTTAAAATCCCACAGCACTCTGTTGTTTATTTCTCTCTTGCCACTTGAAAGCCTGCCCTTTTTTTGTTTTTCATATTTTATTTGCTGAATGAATGACTCTTTGTCTAATTGGAAGCAGGTTATTCATCATTATAGTCTCCGCAACCCCCTGAAGCTTTGCTCTATAGGTGCTCAATATGTGGGTGATCTGAACTCCAGATGCAGTGTGTAACAATCATAAGTTTTCATATTTTATTCATTTGCTTTATTGTTATCCTGGCGGTCCATTTAAAGATGGGTGATTTTGAGGGATTCTCGGTAGCTTCGTGTCATATTTTTCTAGCTGTGTTTTCTGCCAAGTCTGCAACTGGGAGTTGAGTCCTAGCGTTGTCACCCATTGTAAGCTCTTGACCACTCAGGCTTCTTCCTGCCCTCCCGTCGGCCTTCTCCCTTGCAGCCTAGTCCCTTCACAGCCCCTCTACTGCGTGGCGGACCTCAGTCATAATGACTGATCCAGGTGAACACAAATACCCAGGTGGCAAAGGTGTGCCCAGCATTAAATATGGATGTAGGAGGGAATTCCAATGCCTGAGCCATTTGAGACAAATCTATAAGATGAGTAATGCAAAGAATATAAAGCAACAACGACAACAAAAATGTTAGCGTTCTGTAACAGGAGTTTTTTAGCCTTGCTAAGAGTTAGCACACTCTTGTTGGTGCCTCTGACTGACAGCTTTTCATTTCTTTCACTTCAGAGCTGGGGAGACATGAGAGGGACAGAATGGAAAGACCCTCGAGTCTGTTCCCTCTGTTGAGCTTTCGTCTTTGTGGAGGAGACATGTGCTGTACATTGTCTCGTAGAGGAGGCCCATGTACACTTTAGATATGAACAGGTTAGCTCCGTGGATAAGCTGAGCTAGTTTGCTTCCCAGTAGGACTGACTTCCTCCCAGATCCCTACAGTGCAGGGCTCTGAAGTCAGAGGGTTTGGAGCGTGCAAGAAAGGGGGTTATTGAGAGGAGAGAACAAGTAGAGAAAATGGACTGTGTAGAACTAGAGAGGCTCCAGGTTTTATGGTCATTTAATGAACCATTTTTCAAATTCCTGTTTGTAGGGTTTGGTCAATTAAAACCCGGTGGTTTATTTACTGCTGCAGAATTCTAAAATCATTTTTAAGTGTTATTAGCATCTTCATAGATAGACAAGGATGATTTTAACACGATCTTGGGAGAATGCAGCTGCAGTATATACATACTTCTAGAGCAGGCTAATCTAGAATCTGGTCAAGTGTTGTCGGCGCTTCAGCTGTCATTGTGCTGAGTGGCTGGATTCTGGCTCTAAAGCTGAGGGATTAGGGAAATATTTGCTTTATAGAAAGATCCTCAGGGGTGTATAAAATAGCTAAGTCTTCATCTTCCATAATAAGAAGTCCTTAAATAATATCTAAATCTACAAATCAGAAAATAGTGGTATAACCACATGGCATTGAAAAAATGGAGAGACATACAAGAAGAAAGAGCCACAAGAATTGAAAGTGTATTGCTCTGGCAAGTGAGAAGCTGAGAGGGGGAAGCAAGACTGCTATTTGAGATGTTAAATGATGTACACGTATTGATTTTTTAAAAAGAAAGAAAGAATGTGAGCGGGTTTTCTCAGAAAGGGGCATGGGGGTCAAGAGAGAAGGAGGAGTGCAGAGACACCTTAGTGACAGCAATCCTGACTTCCCCCATCTGGGGGTTTAAAGAGGTGAAAGACACAGCAGAGATGAGAGCCGTGCCTCTCAGCGCTCTTCATCTTCCTGC